GGGTTTGGGCAGCACTGGGTTGGGATGCTTTCTTGATGTGCACTTACCCTTTATATAAAACTCTTTCTCTTATACATGCGTTTCTGTGGATTTGTTTCCCTAGTGTCCCTAGACTAACCCAAAGAGTTACAGTCTTGGGAACCTTGTCGTATAGGGTCATGATGAGCTTGCATCCACTTGATGGCATTGAGTTTGCTTTTTGGGGTTGTTGTCAGTCTGGAAGCACCGCTGAAACCTGTTCAGCATCATATCCACACCCAAGCCTCCACTGATGGCTGGGAGTGGCTGCACTGGAGGCCCACTGGTCAGGAGCCTACCGCCAAGTTTAAATCGGAGACAGTGAGAAGTTGCTTTCTGAGTCAGCACTGTCCCTGAGCAGCAGCTGAAAACAACCAGCTCAAACTCTCCGCCATCAAGTTAAGGCCAGCTCATCGTGACCCTGCAGGACACAGGAGACCTGCTCCTTTGGTTTCCAAGACTTCAAAGGTCTCCTGGGACAGACAGCCTCATATTTCTTCCTCGGAGCGGCTGGTGGGTTCCAACTGCTGACCCTGTGGTTAGCAGCTCAGGGTGTGCACTCTGCCACCAGGGCTCCCGAGCAGCCGCTAGAACCCAGAGTTTCCTCTGCAGGCCAGGAAGCTCCCCACTCTATTTGCAACCAGAAGTGGGGCAATTTATCCTGCAAAGAGCATGCGCTGCACACAGATCTGAGTCATGGAGAATCAGTTAAAGGAGAGGCATAGACAGTCCTCAGACTCTCAAAGACCCACGGCTCTCCAGTTGATACTGACTCACAGCGACCCGAGAGGACAAAGTGGAACTGCCCACTGTGTGTTTCTGAGACTGTAAGGCTTTACGGGAGCAGAAAGCATCACCTGTCTCTAGGCACTTAACCACTGTGCTGCCAGGTCTCCTTCAACCACAAAAAGTGTTTCAGTAACAACCCGCTGAATGTGTCAATAGAGGACAGGGGCTGAGGGGGAGCAAAAGCTTCGCCCTTTAAGTAACCAGACCACCACCACCACCCCTGGACAGTACCTTGAAGACAATACACTTATTTCCTAGATCTAGGTGCATCTATTTATAGGGTTAGTATTAAGGTAGCAGATGGACATTGGGCCTCTACTCAACTACTCCCTCAATGCAAGAACACTTTGTTCTATTAAACTGGCATTCCATGATGCTGACCATCCCGACATGATTGCTGAAGATAAATGTGTGCCTAAGCAAATGTGGTGAAGAAAGCTGATGGAGGCCGGCTATCAAATGATATAGTGTCTGGGATCTTAAAAGCCTGAAGATAAACAAGTGGCCATCTAGCTGAGAAGCAACAAAGCCCTCATGGAAGAAGCACACAAGCCTGTGTGATCACGAGGTGCCGAAGGGATCAGGTATCTGGCATCAAAGAACAAAAAATCATATCATTGTGCATGAGGGGGGTTGTGGAGTGGGGAACCCATCTGTAGGCAACTGGACATCATCCCCTTACAGAAGGGTTGCAAGGAGATGAACCAGTCAGGGTGCAGTATAGCAATGATGAAACATACAACATTCCTCTAGTTCCTTAATGCTTCCTCCCCCCACTATCATGATCCCAATTCTACCAATCCAGCTAGACTAGAGCATGTACATTGGTACAGATAAGAACTGGAATCACGGAATTCAGGACAGATAAACCCCTCAGGACCAATAATGAGAATAGCAATACCAGGAGGGGAAGAGGAAGGTGGGCTAGAAAGGGGGAACCAATCACAAGGATCTGCATATAACCCCCTACCTGGGGGACGGACAACAGAAAAGTGGGTGAAGGGAGATGTCGGACAGTGTAAGACATGACTAAACTAAAAAACAATACACTTATTTCCACAAGCTCACACCTGCATGGCGCAGCTGTAGAGGTTGGAAAGCTCCCGTCTTGCCTGGTGCTATTTCACAAGGAGGTATGGTGATGTAGTGGTTACTAGTTGGGTTGCTAACTGCAAGGTTAGCAGTTTGAAATCACCAGTCACTCCGAGGGGGAAGGACAGGGACTGAGTGGGGTGAGTGAACTATTTTTCTACTTGCCTCTGGCCAGGAAGTCTCCTTATGTGAAGGATAAACTCAAAACTCACTGCTGTTTGCGTTGGCTTTGACTCACAGACACCCTGTAGGGCAGGGCGGACCTGCCCCTGTGAGTTTCTGAGGCTCTCACTCTTGACGGGGAGTAGAAAGTCTTTCTCCTGAGGAGCGGCTGGTGGTTTTGAACTGCTGACCTTGTGGTTAGCAGCCCAACACAAAACCTCTAAGCCACTGGGACTCTTTGGTTGTCCCTTAGGAAGAACCCAAAACTTCCATGGTTAAACCAGTAGAGGTGGGCTGGCTATTGTATTGACCAGTTTTGTTTGTTTTTGTTTTATTTTAACACAAGTTGATATGTTTCTGGGCCAGCTATACTCAAAAACAACAACAAACCCACCAACTTCTCTGTGGGAGAAGATGTGGCAGTCAGCTAGCTTAAAGATTCACAGCCTCGGAGAGCCACCGGATCAGTTCTATGTGTCCTACAGGGTTGCTGTGAATCAGAATCAACTTGACAGCAGTGAGTGGGAATCTGTATAGAGGCAAACCACGGTACTTCTCTCTGTAGGGCAGCTGGTGGGTTTGAACAGCTAACCTTTCAATTAGCGGTGAGCACTTTTCCACTTCACCACCAGGCTCCCTTCACGAAGCAGCAGACACATTTATTCACGTATCTGTCTGTACACAGAGAGTTCATAGCTGACAGAAATACTGGCAGCTAATTCATTCCTTCAGCTTCTCTGCACGATGGACCATGATCAACCCCAACTCAAGCGGTTAGGGGGCCTGCCCTCTGGGCCTGTCTCCATCCCCTGCCATCTCTCCCATCAGTGAGTGAGCCCCTGAGGCCAGGGCACGTGGCTCTTGCGCCTGTACCCGCCTCCATATAGCACAGCCACGCCACTTGCTGCCATGCAGTCGATGCCGACTCCTTGCAATCCTTTACAGAGCTTTCTGAGGCTGTGGCACGTGACGGGAGCAGACAGCCTCATCTTTCTCCCATGGAGCGGCTGGTGGGTTTGAACTGCTGACCTTGCTGTTGTCAGCCCTCCAAGGCTGCTTGGCGAATAAATCCATGAGCACATGGGCATGTGGCTAGGAGTCAAATGATCCCCAGACTGATTTCAAGACAGGGCAGAGAAGGCCAGGGATCTAAATCCAAAAGTGGCAAATCACCAATAGATTTTAAGGCTTTGGTGAGGCTTAACCTAACTAACCAATCCACTGTTTGCAAGTCCATTCTGACCCATAGCAACCCTATGAGGCAGAATAGGACTGGTCCCTGGTGCTTCTGAGATTGCAAATCTTGACAGAAGCAGACAGCCTCAGCCTTCTCCCGGGCAAGACTGGTGGGTGGGCTTACAGGGTCAGAAGCGTAGTGGAAGTCATGGTTATAAATGAGTGAATGGCACAGGTCCCGGAGGTGGCCTGGCTACCTGGATGCCTAGCCTGGCTTAAAGATACTCCCTGTTTGTTGGCAGCGGCCCTCTTTAAGGAAGCCCTGGTGGTGCAGTGGTTGAAACAGTTGGTTGAGAACTGAAATGTCAGCAGTTCGAATCCATCAGTCACTCCATAGAGCACAGACAAGGCAGTTTGTTTCTGTCAAGATTTATAGCTTTTGAAATCCCCAGGGCAGGTCTACTCTGACCTATGAGTCGCTGTGAGTCCGAATCCACTCCCCGGTAACACAGGAGGCATCCTTCCAGCACAAACACAGTCCAAGGCCAATGAACTTTACTTTTCTAAAAGTAGGTTCAGGCGCTTGCATTTCGGGGTGGCACGTGCAGACCCTGAAGCCAGACTGCTGAGATCCCAGGTCTGATATTTACCAGTTGTGGCACCTGGGAGTTACAGAATCCTGGTGTGCCTCTGCTTCCGCGTATACAAACAGGGACCATAGCTCACTACGGCACCAGCTTGTACTATATGAGTCAGTACATAGCTGTGCACAATACTCATAATCAGTAAGAGTCAACGGCTACTGTTTTGTAGAAGGCGCAGCATTTGCAGTCCTCCGAGCCCATTTGCTTATATGATCCCATTCACGCCAGGGCCGGGCCCACTGTGGCAAGGACTCCGCTGACTGCAAGGAGACACAGCAGATGGTGTCAGAAGTGGGACTTTAGCTCCCATCCTCTGTCTTCTGGACCAAAGCTCTTGCCACCTTTCCCTCATTCTCTCCTTGGCTTCAGCCAAGATGTGTGTGTGTGTGTGTGTGTGTGTGTGTGTGTGTGTGT